TCCCTTTTACTTTTTGGTTCAGATCTGGTTCGATTATGGTTCAAGTAAGATCCTTGAATATGGTATTCTAAATTTAGGGAATATGATTCCCAATTGGAAGAAGGTAAGAAAATTTTTGAAATTCGCCCTCCCATTCCGCAACCTTATTGGCGTCCATTAGATGGATCCTACCATTCTTTCAATTTTATGTATATATAATTAGAAAAAATATTTTTATATAAATAAAATGCATGTATACATATTTTTATATAATTAGAAAAAATATTTTTATGTATGTATTTGTTTGGGTGGGCTCAGGTTTGGTTGGGCCTGGGTTGGATCCAACCAGGATTTGGTCGGGCTCAGGCTCCCTGAGGCCTAAACCCAAGCCCAACCCAAGTTTAGGTCAGACTTGACTTTTCTAGCTAAGGTCCAGCTTGTCTGAAAACTCAGGCCTAACCCATACAAAATCTTGGGTTGGGTCTGGTCGGGTTCGGTTTCATCCTGCCCAAGTTGCATCCCTAGTTGGCCAACACCTTTGAAACAATTTTTTATATGCTTCTCAATAAACTGATTGGTCTATGCTCTTTCAATTCTGTTGCTCCAAGAGACTTTCGAATTAATGAGATAAAGTGGAATTTAGCACTTGGAATTGTAGGTCTCTCATGAAATTCTTGCAAAACTTCCATCAGCTCCTGTTTGAGAAATGACCAATAATACCTCTAGTAGAACCCAAAGGGGAAGCTATCTGGTCCCTTCCCATTTAAATCATTAATTGCTTGCTACTCAAACTTATGCTCCGATCCATCCCTTTCTGTTGCTGAAATAGAATCAAATTGAACCCCATCCAAATTAGGTCTCACCATACCATAAGCTGAAAACAAGTCCTTACAGTAATTCACAATTGCCTCTGTTGTCTCCTCTTCCCCTTCATATCCTCTCTCTTTGACCTTGATAGTTGAGATTGTGTTGATCCTTCTTGCACTAGCCACCTTAGGGAAGAAGTTTGTATTCTTGCCACCCTCCTTGAGTGACTGTGTTCTTTTTTGATGAATTTGAATGGCTGTATTCTTGATTTTTGCCTCCATGATATTTCCTCCATCAATGCAAGTCTGCAAAAATCATGCTAAGTTGTTTTCCTGACCTTTTAGCCTCGAAGAGAGCACAAACCCCCACCTCTTTGCACCATACCTTGATTTATTTTTCCTTTAAACACTTCATCTTCTTCCAGAATCTCATACATGATGACCCTAATAGTTGGATTTCATTCCACTGCTCAAGCATGCCTCTTGAATTCTGGAATCTGAAATAGCATTAGCTCCAATTTGAATGGCCCAGGTTTTGTCTATAGTACCCACCCTCAATAGAAGAAAATAATGGTCAGAAGTTGGCTGAATCATTGCCACTTGCACAGAATCTGGAAACATGTCATCCTACCTACTATTAATGAGAAATCTGTCCAGCCTAGTCAATGATGGATCTCCCCTGAAGCTGCTCCAAGTAAAAAAGTGCCTTGTGATGGCAAATCCATTAACTGTAGTCCTATCCACAAACTTTCCAAACTCTACCATGTCTCTGTATAGCCTAGCCCCCCTTTCCTTTTGTGGAAAATCTTATTATGTTAAAATAACCTTCTATACACACTGGGAAGCCCTGCCTTTGAGAAAATGATTCAATCTCCACCCAACAGTTCCTCCTCAAATTGCTAACCCTTGGACCTACATAGCTTTGCATGTCCATTCCTTCACATATAATATATTTTTACATATGATGCACAGAGTCACCTCACCTATAATAGAATCAGACCACGAGAAGATATCTGTATCCCAAATTAGAATAAATACAACACTACAGGCATTTTATTCGGCATCAACATTAATTCCTGCATTTGGTGTGCTCTGCCAGACTTGTGCTCTTTTGTTTTACACCTTGGATATGTTGTTAGTTCCATAATTTCATGAGTTTTTTCTGAGAAAGGATTATGCAATTAGGGTCATGTTGCTCTCAAGGGAAATGCCACCATCACCTTCAATGTTACTGACTCATTTTCAAATCATGGATTCATTGAAGAAGAGACGTGCAAAGATTCAGCTCATTGCCTAGGTGAAGCTATAGATGAGTACTTATCAATTGGGGATCCAGAAACTTCCTGTCAGAAGCTTGAGAATATCCTTTCTGAGTGTCTCCAAGATGATCGGCTAAAACCACAGGAGAGACCTAGTTCGAATTTGCAACCCCTGCATCATCTCTCTCTGAATGCTTACATTATACTAGCTTCTGCTTATAAGATCCGGGCTATTAACTTACTGGCAATTCATTCAGAAGTGGACTATAAGCTGGAAGCTTTCAATATGCACAGGACCAGTACAGCATATTCCTTATTGCTTGCAGGGGCAGTTCATCACTTGTTTGTCCCTGAAACTTCTTTGATTGTTCCAGCTGCCAACTTCTGGATCAGTGTTGGGGAGTCCTTGCTGAGTCTTTCTAGGAGTTTGACATGGAATTTGACTGTTGAACAGGGTAAGCCCCATTCAAATCTTATTTCTCTCTCCAGTTATGGATGTGGCAGGTGCTCTTTGATGGACAAATTAGAAGCAAATTTGATATGTCCAAAGGCTAATAGCATATTGGGGCAAGATGCATTTAATGAGATATCCAAGAAGTTCCTTGATTGCATTTCAATGATTTTGCCTGAAGTATGGCCTTCCTTGATCAGTGGCCATAATTACCTCAAGGATATTTGTGATCCTGTGGATTTCAGATGGCTTAGAACAGAGGCTTTTAGCTCAGAACATTCTCAGCTTCATGTTGACTGTACTGATGTTGGTTCTTCTTGTATAGATGGAAAAGGTTGTGTTAGTTGTGCATGTGAAGCAGGCAGATGCACCAACAGGGAAAGGACAACCCTGTTTCAGTTGGGTTCTCATTGCTTGCTCTATGGAGGATATTTATCAACTATTTGTTATGGTTGTTGCAGCCTTTTGACTTCTTACTCTAAGAATCTGCTCTATAATGCTGAAAAATGTAGCTGATTGATTTTCTCCAGCAAATTGCATTGAGTTGTAGCATAAAAAATGTTCCATCCCTGCTTCCTCTTTTGGCTTTTTATTACACTTGAGCAGGTTCCAATTCTATTCTTCATTAATTCATTTTTTATGTGTTTTACCTGTCTCGGGGACAATGTTTATATAGATGACTAAATCCTATAGCCATCTCTTATTCTTCAGAAGACCATTGGATATTGACTCACTTTAACACCGGAGCAGAATTTCAAGATTTAACACCATTAAGTGTGTTTAGCAATTATTTTTTTGGGTACAAGTCTAGCAATAATAATGTGCACGTAATTGAGCTACAGAAACATTTTGGTGCCAAAAGAAAGAAGAAAATATCTTTAGTAAATTACCATCTCGTCTTGGGGGCACCGCTGAAGCTATCTATGTAAGCAATGTTTGTCTCAATAATGTATATGGAACAGGTTTGGACTATGTCTAAATTGGCTACGCCTTGTCATGTTATTTTATACTACTTTTTATGGTTGAATGCAACTTAGTAGCTACGTTATCATTCCAGTGTATTTACTTAAGGGATGTGCAAGTTCTAAATCCTAATGTGCTCTTTCCAAATTGGCCAGCATTCTCAAGGGTAGTTTTATTTGATAACATCATACATTTCTGCTATGAACTTTCATAACTGCCACCTTGAGGGTCTGGACAGAAGGGGCTTAGAGATTGACTTTTTTTTTTTAAAGCTTGTGGCATTTGTCAACTAGATGTTTCTCTTCTGTTTGCTCGGTAAATGGGGCTTCGCTTGAAATTTGTGGAGAGGGTCGCAGTGTGCATTTGAATTCCCCAATGCTTGATACAAACGGGATCAGTAGGGCACCTCCGTTGGACAAGGTGGTTGAGACGGGAAATCTTTTCTCAGGCGGTATTCCGGAGGATTTACCAGCGGACTTAACCATGCTGTCGATATGATGCTTTTTCAACTGCAGACTTGATAAAAACAATGGGTTGATAACAAGTTTAACGAAGCTATTTGAAAGCAAGTATTTGGATTCCAATATTATTTCAATCCTAGCGTTGACTTTTAAGCAATATCTCTCTTCTTATCTCCGAATATCAGGTCTTATCTTGGTAGTATAGAAGTCAGGAGAGTTATCACTATAGAAACCTTTGCTCCATCTTCAACTCTCACTGATCACTGCCTCTGTTCCTCCAATTTTTAGTAGGTTTTGGGAAGCACATTCTTTTTCTCTCCTTAAGTTCGTTTCCAATAGGCTGAAAATCTGGAAATGCAAACTTCTGTATATTACACTAAGGAATTAGAGCCAGCTATCAACTCATGATGAGATAAGTAGAAAAGGTTGTAGATTGGAAAACTCACAAGGTTAATTCGGATTTGGGAGAGATCTGCCTCTGCCCACTTGAAAGATGAGTAGTGCCGATTGGCAAGTATGTTTTCAAAGATCTTCTGGAAGATTAGACAGTAAAGACAATGTGAGATTTTGCGTAAAGATTTTGACAATCCACAGACCATTTGGTGGAGGTGCATCTTTCCGCATGTAAAGGAGGCAAAAAATTTCATTTGGAGATTTTCAACAGGATTCTTGAACTGCGTTTAAATCTTTTCCCAACCAAACAGGAAAAGACAAAAAATTGGGCAACTGGACTTCTAAAAAATTAACAGCCCACGTCACACACCAAACAGACCAAAGGTACTGGGCTTTTTACACATTCATATGACATCAGCCTGCTTGTTATGGAAAAGTATGGACAGGTCCCCACTGTACACCTATAAACATTCAAAATGTCAAAAACTCCCACTCTATACATTAATACCCACAGTGAATTGACATCAATTCCGAGCTAGCACTTACCTGTAATTTGGGCCTAAAAATTCTAACCCTGAGCTGAACCATCATTCTCCCGTATCATTCCTCCTTCACTCCATGAGAGCAATTTATGAATTCATGGGAATCCTTGGCATCTCTTCCATTCTTCTGGGCAGGTTCTACATAATCTGGGTCTGTGCCATTCCTGGTACTACCAACAGTCCCAACTGCACAAACAAGGAACAACGTACTGCCATCAATATAATATTGCTGTAAATTCCCTATAAGTCCCTTCAACGTAACGTACCCATATCCCATATTAATTACTTTGTATGACTTGAGAACTCTTAGTTAAGATGGCACTTCAGAATGAATATGAACCTGCTAATTGAAACTGAAACTGGCTGTTGGAATCCTTGGTGAGCAACACACAGTCACCGAACGAGTTTCCTCCTGTAAACCGAGTCATCGCGTGTTTGACGTCTCTAGCCTATGTGACGAGTTTAGCTCTAGCTAGAAATATTATCCACCTAATTATCATGTTAAATATCCAGGAAGCACCCATTAATACGATCAAACCTCTCGTGTCCATCTTATTCAAGAGTAAGCGTAACCCCATCATTTAATAATGCAGCCATTATCAATTCATAATGAGCATCGCCATGGAAAACAAGCCTGCCTCTGTAAGTAAGCACGTCAACCATCAACTTCGTCTCATAATGTATTAAGCACAGTCGATTGGCTTATCTTTTCAGTTGCCCAAATACGTTTTGGAGTATGAACAGTTACGTACCCACGATTATCAAATGACCTGTCTAGCTCCTTTTCCTTCCCTATTTCCTATATATATATGTTTGTTTGTGCAGGGCCTGAAGACTCAACTTGACTCAACTTGCACCAAATATCGACTGTGAAGTGTGCTACATTTCTCTGAGTTGATAGATTCATAGAAGACATGGCTGTCAGAAAGTTGGCTCTCCTGTTAGTAATCGTCGCATGGGTCATGGGGACTACTGCTACTGTGGCAGCACGAGAGCTGCCACTGACATGGGGTCATGACCTTGCAGCACGGCTTGAGAGTGAGGGAGGGGGCTTGGTGGAATGTGGGAATGCGCTTCTGGAGCTTCGAGCATGCACCAATGAGATTATTCTTTTCTTCCTCGAGGGTGAGACTTATCTGGGCCTTGATTGCTGCCGAGCCATTCGAATCATCACTCGACAGTGCTGGCCATCTATGTTTACTTCTATCGGCTTTACAGCTGAGCAAGGCGACATACTCCGAGGCTACTGTGATGCATCAATGGGAACTCTGGCATCTCCACCTCCTCCATACATTGGGCCAGTTCCACCCGTTGAACCACCAGTGCTGTCTCCCACTCAGACACCTTTGAGCCCAACACCAGCCGGTGTGATGGTTGTGGGTTAGAGAAGAAATGAATCGCAGGGATGTTAGTAGTGTGTTAGGTTGTTTATGCTTCTAGTCTTCTACGTGGCTTTCTTCAAGTGTTTGGGACTGGGTTTGGTTATAAATGCTTAATGCCTTATGCAACAGAGTTGGATTTTGGGTAATGGGTTGTTGGTATCTCTGCTTGTTGCTTCTATCTGTCATCTGAAGTAGTGTTTGCTTGGAGTTTGAGAGTTCAATCTCCATCTCGTTATTATATATTTTGCTCCCTTTCTCACTCTACGTACGTATATATATATATATATATATATAATTTCGACCCAGAAAAAAGTTGGGATAATCTGATACTAGTTTTTCTGGGCTTGGCCCGAACCCAACCCTTGAAAGACTAAAATCCTGCTAGCGCAATGTCAATGTTTGATATAAACCTATATGAAAATTCAGGATATAATTTCATTATTAAGTGGCTATACTGATCTATGGAATCAGTTATATTCGTATTGGTTTATCAGGTTAATTCAGGGCTAAATGTTAAAGACTTGACACACTTGATGTCCAAAGCGGTTACTTACTGTTCAAGTAAATTCCATTAACATTGCAAGCTGAGAGTCTTTATGACCCAAACGAAGGTTATGGATCTCTCAACATATATATATACATATAAATCTTAGGACCTCGACCTATATCCTCCACCAGCAAAACTAGAAGAAACAGACGTAGGCAATTCATATAACAGAGTTTGAAAGAAAGGAAAGATCACATGGAGAAGTTCCATGGCAACGCTATAATGCTGATGTCTTTGTTAGCCTGCACGAGTGTGTTGGTTGCACAGGGACTCGCAATGCGATTGCAGGAGGAAGAGGAGGGAGAGAGACCGTCGGCGTCAATGGCACCACAGGGGGCTGAAGGGCCGCTGCCCAGTTCTTTTGATGACCACCTGGAGCATTGCTTAGAGGTGTTGGGTGATAGCTGTTTGGTGTCGGCATTTGGTTCATTAATTGATAAGGATTACATGATGGGCAACAGTTGTTGCCCAAAGCTCCTAGAGATGGGCGGACATTGCTGGGTCCAAATCATCGATGCGATCGCCTCTAGCTTTCCCACCAAAAAGCATGTTTTTATCCTACGCTTTCTGGGTTCACGGACCTGGAATCGTTGCGTTTTATTGGAAAGGCAAGCACCAGTTGCTTCACCCTCAGCCCTCATCGATGCACTGGCATAAGCCTTTGTTATCGATCTCTTCTTCTTCTTCTTCTCACCTCAAACTCAACCATTGGCTGGTCCTTTAATGGAACCGTGACACAGTTATGTTGTTTCTGAGCTAAATAAGGAAAGCCTTCTTGAATTAGTATTTTGCGATCAATATATATACATATACACTACCTCTCTCTTTAAGCAGTTATATATTTACTTTCAGTTTGATACATGGCTAATTGTTTGCATACAGTGTAGACTCCAGATCTCCTGCCTACTAGAATCCTGCCCACGTTTATTACAGCCATACATGGATAACATCTCATCCTCTGCATAGTATTATGAGGGAGAGATGTTCCCAATTCACGGGGGTGGTGTATTATGGTAGGCTCTACAGTGTAGCCTAAAAAGAATATAGGGTCATTTAATAGAACACCCCTATAGTTTCAAGAATTTACTAAAACCTATCCTATAGTTTGAGTTTTACTAAAACATCCCCTATAGTTTGCAATCAATTTATTTAATTAATCTTCCATTAAATGACAGTTGAAAATAATAGTTTTAACCCAAACATTCATTTGGATAAATTTAATCAAAAGAAAAAAATAAAAATATCATTTTTTGCTCCTAGTAAGACACGAGAACAGCTTTGTTAATTTTGTTTTTTGTTTGAAGACGTGTTAGGAGTAATTTTGAAAATAAACAATCATGATCCCATGCCCTTGAACATTTTTCACTCAACTCAGGTGATTACATTACTATTTTCAAATGGCAAAACAAACACTTCTTAATGAAATATTGATTAAATAAATATGTTGCAAATTATAGATGATGTTTTAGTAAAATAAAAACTATAGAGTAGGTTTAAGTAAATCCATGAAATTATAAGAGATGTTTTAACTAGTTAATGACCCAAAAACATATAACTTAGCATGGGGTTTTGGTGATTTGGTCATATAATGATAATACCTCTCCCAGGGTTCACCTATAATTAGGGGTGGATAAGAGTTTGGCTGAGCCCAATATTGATTTATCAAGCTCTACTTGGTAGAGAAGCATAAGGCTCAAGTTAAGGTTTGAGCTCAATTCAAGCTTCAAATATTAACTTGAATTTGATCCAACTCAAAAGCTCATATATTCAAGTTTAGTTGGGCTTGAATTAAAGAATAAGCTATTTAAGCCAAGCTTCATATAAAAAATAAAATTTATATGTTTAAAAAAATAATTCTTGTTAAAAATATTATATATAAGCTCAATTAATTAAAATTACAAGCTTGGCAAATCGAGTATCATACTATTTGAGCATGACTCAATTACCAATCCATCATCCTATATATTAAATTCAAACTCGACCTTGAAGCTTAAATTGGAACAAACTAAATCAAGATTTTCACAAGCTGAACTCAAATGGCTCACGAATAGTCTGATTCATGTCCCACCCCTACCTATAATTCACCCAGTCACCTCACGCACCAAATGGTACAAAGCTGTAGATTGGTAGATGGGTTCTAAAACTCAAAATCAATGTCTGTATTAGATTGGATTGGACCTGGTCTGCCCGTAATAAATTCATATTAGATTTGGTTGGATTAAGCCAATATCTAGTCTATTGATATAAGATAAAAATATACGAAAAAGGACGGACAAGCCTAATGCAGATTTCTGATTTTCACTGCAAAACTATAAACATTCAGAAGGTCCAAAAACCACACTCTATGTACCCGTACCCACCTGTGAACTGGCATCAATTCCGAGCTGACACCTACCCCAAATACACTTTGAACCTACAGATTCTAACCCTGGGGTTATCGATCATTCTTCCAAGAATATATGTGTCAAGAAACCAGGTTTGGATTGAAACCAATCTAAATCAAAATAAATTTGAACAAATTGAATGATTCAGACATTAAATTGGACCGATCCAAATTGATCTAAAAATTCATTAGACTGGATTGAACCTGATCCATTTATAATGGACTCACACTGAACTGGATCGGATTGGACCAAATTAACACGTACTTAGGATTCGGATGTGTTTATGCCGGATCGGGGTGTAATTGTTGATCGTCAACAAGCTTTTAATGCTTTGACGCATAAACATGTGACCCAAGATGACCTGTTGGCCCGTTATCACCACACAAGGTCTCTTCCCCCTACCACTTCGGGACACTTCGAAGTTGAGTTTGAGGCCAGAGAGAGAGAGATTAGTTTCCTACGCCCCACGGAAGAACTCTGGCTCTGCTGCTTATTATTGAATGGATCATAGGTGTATGTTCTGAAAAAAGGTCTACGAGTGGGGCCCTCTTTACATTTGGGCCACTATCCTTTTGCCGACAGCCCGAGTTCTCCACAGGTGGGCCCTTATGTAACCGACCATTTATTTCATGAGCCATATATGGACATATCATCAATATCATCCTATTCGAAATATCTTCTTTTATTTATTTCTTCTTTAATATTGATCGCCATTTTCGTTGGATATACTTGGTTTATTCTTCCTTTAGTAGAGTGGTTGAGAAGAAATCAAGATGAATCTCGGGCGTTGGATTCTTATCTGATGCATTGCTTGAATTAGTCTATCACATCTCTCCACATGGCTCAGAGAGGAATAGAGGATAAACGAATAATAAATTAAAATATTTGCTTAATTAGTGATGGGGTTTCAATGGGTTTTGTCCATCAAATCAGTGGGCCACCAAAAGAAGACCCATCAAAGGCTGAATTTTATATTAAGTTATAAATAATTGAAGAATTTAATATTCATTGATATTGGATGATATTAACTCTTGATTTTAATTTTATCTATTTTTCATTGGTTTATGTGTAATAAGATATATTTACAACGGTTCAGAGAGTGAGAGAATATAAAACAAATAATAAATTAAAATGTTTGCTTAATTAGTGAAGATGGGGGGTTTCATTGGTGTTGTCCATCAAAAAAAACTCATCAAAGGCTGAATTTCACCAATATTGGTTGCATGTTAAATCTCGATATCAACCAATTACCACGAAAGGGAAATCCATAAAAGGCTAAATTTAATAAATAGTTATAAATAATTGAAGAATTTAAGATTAATATATTCATTAATATTTTCTGTATGTTAAATCTCAGTCTCAATCAATTAGTTAAAATTTGTTTTTTCTTTCATTTGTTCATGTTTAATAAGATATACTTACTATCAAGTTCAACCAATCACATAAAGTAAATGTTGTTATAATTGAATTGCAGAAACATTCTTGAAAAACCTAATTACCGAATAAAGAAAAAACTAACATCTTGAATTCATGTAATTTCCTTTGAAGCAGTTGACGTATTCTTGTGATTCAGCCGAGAGCTTTTACCAACCACATTTTCAGGCACTCATCTGGTCCGTGTGAGTTCCAAAAGTCGTGGCCCAGTCACATTAATTATTCCACAGTATGCACTAAGCTGGGGAGGTTAGAACTCCTCAGAAGAAATCTTATAAATAGAACTACTTCAGTCCCTCTATTCATCCATCAACCACCAATACCATCTGCCTTTGATTCTTCCTGATTAAGAGCCTCCTCCTTTTCCTTTTCTTTGTCAAACACCTTTCTTGCCACCACCATGGCTGAGGAAAAGCACCACCACCACCTCTTCCACAATCACAAGGATGAGAGGCCAGAGTCTGAAGTGGTGTACTCCGAGACCACCTATGCTGCCGACGGCACCGGCAATTATTCTCAGACGACAAACTTTGCTGCTTCCTCTGCTGTTGATTATGAGAAAGAGGAGAAGCAACACAAGCATTTAGAACACTTTGGTGAGCTTGGTGTAGCTGCAGCTGGTGCTTTTGCTCTCGTAAGAGACGTTACCAACTGATAGTTACGTTTTTTTTTCCCCCAAAGGGCTTACATGACGTGGTAGCCCATCTCCAAAATCCATAAACCCCTTTAACCCAAATGCGGGACGGGATTATTTGATCCCAAGTCTCAATAGAGACCTTACCAACCAATCAGTTGATACTTTGCATAGTTACATTTATTTTATCATTAGTATATGTATAGATGAAAGTTGTGACAAGTACGATAAAACTAATCAAAAACTTGTTTTTGTTTTCTAACAATATTGCTTTAGCACGAGAAGCATAAGGCGGAGAAAGACCCAGAGCACGCACACAGGCACAAAATTGAAGAAGAGGTTGCGGCAGCGGTTGCAGTGGGGAGTGGGGGATACGCCTTCCATGAACACCATGAGAAGAAAGAAGCAAAGGAACACGCCGAAGAGGCCCATGGAAAGAAGCATCACCATCTATTCTAAATAGACTATATATATATATATATATATATATATAATTAGTGATGTTTTTAGTTTTCACTGTGTTTCCCATAATAATAAGTGCTGAAGTGCCAATGGTGAGATGAAATCTGTGTTTGCTAGGTTCGCCCTATGTTGACTCTCTAGTAGTTTGGATATATTGGGTATATGTTTTCCTTTTGGTATTTATATATGTGTATTATGGCTTTTGAACCATTCTTTTAATGCGAAATGGTTATGGATTAGGTTTCACCTAATTGGGTCATCCTCACAATTAGGCCCCAGTGAGGTGAAATTAGGATCATTTTATTGTGATAATGTTTTGTTTTTTTTTAAGATAAACAATTAAAAAATAAAAAATTTATGATCTATTTCCCTATAAATCTTTAGGTATGCTATAATATCCCCAGAACAGAAGAATACTAATTCCATACATTATAATCAGACGTGACTAGACAGTAAATCCACCCAGGTCAAAAAAAAAAAAAAAAAAAGAAGAAAAGAAAACCGGAAAAAGACCCTGATCTTGGAAGAGCATGGACCACTGAGTTTCACTTTCTGTTGACAAAGATGAAGGGAACCGAGAGGCCATCTGCAAGGTCTAGAGTTTCCTTTAATTAAGGTTGTGTTTGGTTTGAAGGAAAAAAAAAGTAGAGAAAGGTAGGGAAACTTTACAAAGCTTTTATAGGTTTTCTTTCCTTTCCTTATAGCTTTTCCTTGAAATCAAACGTAGCCCAAAGAAGCATTCAGGAGAGATAGAAAAACCTTTGGCGCATTCAAGCTGTTCACTAACACCTTGCAATCAGATTCCAGAATTAATATGTTAAATCCATGCTTCTTTGCAAGAAGAAGAGCATTCTTTACTGCTATAGCTTCAGCTTGAAGGGAAGAAGGCAGCATGGTCCAAAACAAGCTACCACACAAACACCAGTTTGATTAATTTCTCACAATCATCCGATAGCTTGCTCAATTGAACCCTAAAAACCTCCATCAGTGTTTAATTATTCTAGTCCTCACAAAATTCATCCTCAATTTTTGCAACCATGCATTAGAAACATCTATCCCATGAATAAAAACATATGAAGGACAGAGATGTTCCCATTGCATGGCTGCAAAGTCTGTAAGGATGAAGTGAAGAACTGAAGATAGATTTGTGTAAGGACTAAATCTGAATTCATTTTCACACATCTCACCATAAGATTGGAACCCACAATAATATTGGTGACCCAATATGCATGAGATGGCATATACAAATTATGTTAGAAGGTTTTCTGTTGGGAAGAGATCCATGCTAGTTATGGATAATAAATGTTACACTTCAAGCCCACTGCCCGTTTCTTGTCGTTATCAATCTCATTCAGTTTCTAATCCAAATGTAAGCAACGTTTGGAGTGCTTTTTGGCCTCCATGTGTTTCAAAGTGACTCGGATCTCCTGCCCATGCCTACCTACAATACACTATCCCCTGTGAATTAGGAACATCTCCCCCTGCATAATACTATGCAGAGGATGAGATGTTCTCCATGTGCAGCTGCGATAAATGTGGGCAGGGTTCTCGTGGGCAGGAGATCCGAACTCATTTCAAAATACCCTCTATTCTTATGGTTTAGCTAATTGACTAACTCTACCTTTATTGTTTACATATTGTCTTAAAAGTACCTTCAAGTTTTTTAACAATTGTTTAAAACCTCCCTTGTCATTAACTTTCCATCACACTCTGTCCGCATGTGATATCTTAAATTACACTTATGGTTTAACTAATTGACTAACTCTATCTTTATTGTTTATGTATTGTCTTAAAGTACTCTCAAGTTTGTTGATAATTGCCTAAAACTTCCCTTATCGTTAACTCTCCATCACACTCCATTGACATTTGACATCATATGACTGATATATTTTTTAAAATTTCTAAAATACCCTTTTATGGTTTCACTCCATTCTTCGTCTCTGATTCCAACTCCGTCTTCATCTCCATCTCCGATTCTGACTCTGTCTCCGACTCCATCTCCAATTTCCAATTCTGTCTCCGCATCTCCGTCTTCATCTCTGTCTCTGATTCCTACTCTATTTCTGACTCCATTTCCGGTTCTGTTAAATGATGATATTGCCCTTCTTTTCCATCTTCATCATCAACATCTTGCCTAATACCCTAGAAACCACCGTCGAGCAAACCAAAGGGATTGAGGAAGTCCCAAGTGGAAACATCCAGCAGCAGTGGAGGTTCAGGAGGAGCAGCCAAAGGAATCTGTGGCCGACTGTATGTAGTAAGGATCATTTGAAGGTAGATTCATCCGAAAGCCATAGAATCCACCCCCATCTAATATTGAGGATACCCATAGTAAGAGGTAGGATGGATTAGACCACTGAGTTGTTGCGGGCGACATTTGTGGCTCCTGGTAATATATAGAGGGAAATGCAGTGGGCAACCACTTCATGTAGTTCATTTGGTATGAATTTGAAGAATTCACTTCAGTCAAGGCCATACCAGTTGCAGGCGAGAAAGAAGAGGACACGGGCTTTTCTAGGCTACCCTCTACTCGGAGAATAGACCCGATCACCCCAATCCAATTCGTTTGGGTTGGTCAACCCATCCTGATCCAGACTAGGGCGATTTAGACCAACCCAAATCCAAAAAGGTTATGAACGGACCGGTTTGACCTAGATCCAGTCCGACCTGAAGCAAGCCGACCCACTTGCTTTGACTCCGGTTCGGATTGATCAGCCCAATCTGAATCTGTACATCCCAACTTGATTTTTTGGACAAGTCTGATATGTTTCCCTTGACCCGCTTCAAACTATTTGATTCAATCCCAAACCCCATTACTAGAAAATTCATCTTTAGAGGCAACCATAACTACCTCTAAAAGCTTAAAAAATGCCTCTAAAAGTTACAGGAGATAACCAGGTAAATGCCACTAAAAGCCCTATAACTAAATGTTTTAGAGGCACTTGGTTGAGCATTAAAGGTGGATTATAAATTGGACTTTTAGAAGCACATACGACTATCTCTATTGCACTGACGCTAAAAGTCCTGTATAGAGGCAGTTAAAAGTGCCTCTAAAAGTTCAATTTAGAAGTTCATTTGAACGCCTCTAAATGATTTTGTGGCAATTTTATGTGCCTCCAAAAAAATCTAAAAAAAGGAAAATTTTGTATGCTTTAATATTTAGACACTTTTGACTGCCTCTAAAAAGATTCCAAATTAAAAAAAATGCAATATATTGTGAATATTGCTACATAAAAATTCTAATTGATACACCTGTATGAAAATATATTCAATCAAAGCATAAAACACCTATGACAATATATATAAAATCCAAAAAGATACACATTATCCATAAAATTCCAATTGACTTCCATCATCATTTTAACAAAAAAAAAAAACCACAACATTCAACCCTCATTATATTCATTCTTCATTTTGAGTAGATGTCTTCTTTTTTAACAACCTACAAATCAAATATAGAATAGTCCAAAAGAAATTCCTTTTAACATCTCAAAAAAAAAAAAAAAAAACTCTTTGTAGTCTTCATCCAATCCTTTCTTCCTCTACAACCTGCAAAGAAAAGCAACAAAAAGAAAAACACTTGAAATTTCATGCCTATCAAGATGTCTTCTCTTTTGTTTGATTGCATTACAAATGAAGTAAATTAAGATATAAAGCAGAATAAAGTAAAACCCAAAACAAAATCAAAGGAGAATTTGCATTTTTTTCATTTGCACTCCCATGCATTTGTAATAGTGCAAATAAAATTGCACTACAACCAAACACAGGCTTATGGACATCTCTAACTAGTCTATCGATTTGGGTTCTTATTGTGCACTGCTGATTTGCTCCGTCAACAAAATCATTTGCAGATAGATATAGTAATATTGAGGAAATTATTATATAAGAATCCATTAAACTGTAGCTTGTACTAAAATAGGTCCTCTTTTTGTATGTCTAGATACTGAATGCAACCTCCTAATTTGGATTTCATATGGAATGTGGCTACATTTGTCATTCATTCATTATTTTAAGGAATTATCTCCATTTGCAATTAAAATCCCCTTTTGAATATTGAGTTTTTAACTGAAAAAAGGAGATAAGTCCTTAAAATAAGGAATGCCAAATGCAACAGTAATTCATTTCCTCAATCACCTCCTTTTGTGCAGTCTGTGCAGTAAGGATATGTTTGTTGTAATGCCTTGGCCTGAGGTAACTTGTGATCCTATTCCTATGATCACTGCTTATTAAAAAGAAGAATGGAGCCTCGGTGGATCTATTTCTCTAATAGTTCTGCAAACATGGAGCTTGGGATTCTCTACTCATATGTCCTTGAATGATTACCTGCTACTTTGGTCCAGTTCTCACACAAGGAGCTTTAATTTCTTATAACGGTACTCAATTTGGAACTTGGAGCAGGAATTTTTGGGGCTATGTAGAGGGATAATCAGAAGAGAAAAATTAATTAATTTGAACTTGAGATAAGCAATGAACAGGAAAAAAAGTTTCAAGTAGATTGACAGCACTACATATATACCAGACCCTGGTTGGACCTAGGTCAGGGGAATTTTCCTATTGATTCAATGCAAGGGCATACTAGAACCCAGACAAGACTTGGCCCATTGACAGCACTATTATGGCTCACTATTGCTAAATTAGCACCAACTTTGGAAACAAATAACTGTTGAACCTTCTCAGAAATACTCTAATAGTCAAATTTTCTTGAATCTTACTTTAAGGAATGACAGGAGTTTGGTATGTGTGGCTATAGTGAAATATTCTCTGGGTTTGATGTTACTCTGATAGAATCTAAGGCAAAGGTAATTGTAGAAGTTAGTCTTACTGAAATCTCATAAAGAATGAATTTAGTTATTGCTGTAACTGTGCTCACTTCATCATGGAAAATTGTGGCCAATCAGGCCTCTTGCCATCCATATCTGCCAGAGATGAAGGAATCATGCAGCTAATCCAGACCATCCATCAGGGACCCTACTTGCAAACTACTCCCCAGAGATAAAGATTTGCTACACCTTTGTGCATATCTTGAACTTGAAGATCATAGAGATCAGGTCAGGCAAATAATCTGACAATGCAAACTGTTAGAACTGCTTCCATGCTGAATTGGTTATTCTAAACACTTCATTTGATATTTTATCAATAGAGGACCAAGTACTGACATGTAGACAGAGATATGGGTATGATACCCAGAGATATTGTTTTAGCTAAAACAATATTTTGCTTTATGTAACTTAGGGTGTATTTGATGC